AAAAGAAAAGATCCCCCCACACCCCAAATAATGTTGAAAATAGTTAAATGAAATATCTTTATATCATTAAAATTTCACCGCAGGAAACCATTTTACTTGTGTATATTTTGACCTCTTTTTTTGGTAATTTACGTTGATTGTAAGTGCTGTTTGCAATGTGTAAATTACTTTCTTTGTTCACTTCACAATATTTTACTTTTAAATAATTTTTCAAAATTTTCATGAAAATGAGCATGAATCTGGAGGCATGCTGCTTTAAAGTTCTGACGTGACCTCATTTTACTTTTTTGTTAAGTTTATTTTTTCAACCTAGGATTTGTTAAATTATAGGATTGGAGTGGAACAATCCAGATTTGTTGGAAAATTATAATAAAGAGGGCAGTTATGATCTAAACAATGGGGATAGAGATCCTTCACCTAATACCAAAAACCGTAAGTTGTTTTTATTTGAACATGTTCTATTTTTTCTCATATGTATCTCACTTCTGAGAAGTTTTTATGAGGAAGTACCCTTGATGTTTTTCATATTGAAAAATTGCCCTTCTGTTCTTGTGGTGGGTTAAAAATGTGAAAAGGCCAAAACCTGAAAAGCAACTCAACTACGACATTTTAGATGTCATTTTTTCAACTTCTGTTTGTTATGAATTCACCTTTATGGAATGAAAGGTAAATATGTGACAGTCTTCATTGTTTGTGTTTTTGACCTTTCACCTTTTCAACCCTTACAACATGTCATAAATCTGCCTCATATTACAAAGATGTGAGATGATGGGGAAACAGTGATGCCACACAGTTACAATCTGTAATTCTTCAGTTAACCTGTTTCTCATGTGTTCATGTTCCTAGAGAGGTTCTGAAATATGTTGTATCCTAAGAAAACTTTAGAAATAAGATTTGCTACCATCTTGAACCTTTAAGTGTGGCTTAAGGTTTTCAAATTCAAAACATTTGCCCCTTAACTGCTGTGCTAAAACGAGTCAAGCTGGAAAGTTGCAGTGTGACTTATACTGTTTTGGTGTGACGTAAAACCAAACCTAAAAAAAAAATACTTGAATTAACAAAATTGAGTGTTTGTATGACGTAAAACAGAATAATGAAAAAAAATTTCATCATGTCAATGCTATCACTGGATGGTTGCGAATCAGATAGTTTTAATTGATGTGCGCCGTATCGCTTGCTGCTATCCACCATCTTGTGCTCTTGAGCTTTCACTTGACAAAATCATTACTAATATAAACTCCATGGTTTTCTTTTCAAAATGAAACCTGATTATACTGTCTTGTAGTAGCTTTACAATAGTCAAAATAAAAATGAAAAAAAATATGTTAGATAATTTGATTTGTATAATTAATGATATATTTAAATATTTGTGTTTATTTATAGAGAAGAATCATCATGGAACACGATGTGCAGGTGAGATCTCTGCCATACCAAATAAAGTATGCGGTGTCGGTGTTGCCTTCCGCTCTAAAATCTCAGGTTTGACGAATGTATTTCATAGATAACTTACATTATAAAATATGATCATTTTGAATGTCTTACACATACAGTGTATTACTCAGATAAAGTATGATCATTTTTGTGTCGCCTTGAAAATCCGACATATAGGGATTACTTTGGTTAGCGGCCGCGGCAACTTCGGTGGGGGGTGTCCCCTAAGGTTTGTCCAGAGCATAAATCAGTCACTATAAGTCGGATTGACTCCAAACTTGATTTGCATGCTTCTTTCAATGACTTGACTCGCAGAGTTCTAGTGCATTATACTTGCAATTTATAATTTACATTGTTCATGAAAAAACTGTTATAGGCTTTAAAAATGCTCAAGACATAGAGCAAGACTCTATATTGCTATGAGAAAAAATTCATTAGAGAGTTCATTATGAACTTTCATCTTAATTAAGATACAATAGATATGATTAAAAAATTCTGACACATTCTGGCATAAACATATTATAAATTCATGTAAATATTTTGTTTATGTTAGGATTAAAGCTTCTAGATGGACCTCTAACAGACAGTATGGAAGCTGATGCCTTCACAAAGTTCTTCCAGATCAATGATATTTATAGTTGCAGGTAAGAACTATGAAATCAAACAAGTATCGCAATTTCTGTCAGCATATCAAACAAACCGCTAATTCAGGTGTTTTTAAGTGACATTCTATAATTATGATTTATCAAGGCATTCCCCTCATCCCACTGAACATCTGCCATCCCCTCCAATAATTTTCTAGCAAGTTTTTTTCCCCAAGAAAGTTAAAAAAAACAACAATAAAAAAGCAACAATTTAAGTCAGTTTTGTCTAATCCATTTGAACTGTTCATTTATAGTTCATTGAAGAACATTTTAAATTACATTAGAGAAGGATACTATCAACATCAAAATTTAAATTTGGTCACAAAAATGATCAAAAATCAAACAAGACGTTTTTTGTTTTGGTCGGAGATCAAGAAGTATTTTTGTGTCGCCGGTGTTGCCTTCCGCTCTAAAATCTCAGGTTTGACGAATGTATTTCATAGATAACTTACATTATAAAATATGATCATTTTGAATGTCTTACACATACAGTGTATTACTCAGATAAAGTATGATCATTTTTGTGTCGCCTTGAAAATCCGACATATAGGGATTACTTTGGTTAGCGGCCGCGGCAACTTCGGTGGGGGGTGTCCCCTAAGGTTTGTCCAGAGCATAAATCAGTCACTATAAGTCGGATTGACTCCAAACTTGATTTGCATGCTTCTTTCAATGACTTGACTCGCAGAGTTCTAGTGCATTATACTTGCAATTTATAATTTACATTGTTCATGAAAAAACTGTTATAGGCTTTAAAAATGCTCAAGACATAGAGCAAGACTCTATATTGCTATGAGAAAAAATTCATTAGAGAGTTCATTATGAACTTTCATCTTAATTAAGATACAATAGATATGATTAAAAAATTCTGACACTTTCTGGCATAAACATATTATAAATTCATGTAAATATTTTGTTTATGTTAGGATTAAAGCTTCTAGATGGACCTCTAACAGACAGTATGGAAGCTGATGCCTTCACAAAGTTCTTCCAGATCAATGGAGTAGTGGCGACATATAGGGATCACTTCTCCGTCGTCTGTCTGTCTGTCCGTCACAAAACTTGTCCGGACTACTCCTCATAAACTACTTGTGCAATTTCATCTAAACTTTACAGGAATGATCAGTACCAAGTCTAGTTGTTCATATTGTCAGCATTTTCCGGTTCAATGAATTTTGTCAGAGTTATGGCCCTTTAATAATTTTTATTTTTAAAGTTTGTCCGGACTACTTCTCTTATACCACTAATGCAATTTCAATGAAACTTTACAGGATTGATCTGTAGCTCAAGTCCTTGCGCATAATGCAGGGGTTTTCCGGTTGAATGATTTTTGGCTGAGTTATGGCCCTTTGTTAAAAAGGTGTTTTTTTTCTGTGTGTTGCCAGATACACAAAAGCTTGTCCGGACTACTCCTCATAAACTACTGGTGCAATTTCATCCAAACTTTACAGGAATGATCAGTACCAAGCCTAGTTGTGCATATTGTCAGCATTTTCAGGTTTAATGATTTTTGTCAGAGTTATGGCCCTTTTAAAATTTTTAATTTTAAAGTTTGTCCGGACTACTTCTCTTATACCACTAATGCAATTTCAATGAAACTTTACAGGATTGATCTGTAGCTCAAGTCCTTGCGCATATTGCACGGGTTTTCCAGTTGAATGATTTTTGTCTGAGTTATGGCCCTTTGATAAAAAGGTGTTTTTTTCTGTGTGTTGCCAGATACACAAAAGCTTGTCCAGACTACTCCTCAAAAACTACTGGTGCAATTTTATTCAAACTTTACAGGAATGATCAGTACCAAGTCTAGTTGTGCACTGTCCGTTTGTCTGTTCGTCTGTCACAAAACTTGTCCCAACATGAAATTGGCCATCATGAGGCGACACATGTGATTACTGATCGCTCTTGTTTACATCTAGCTTACGATAATGTGCTACCTATTAAAAAACATCATTGTTGATAATTTGGAGAAATTTTATTATTTATGGTTTTTTTATTTGTTACAGTTGGGGCCCAGATGATGATGGGAAGACAGTGGATGGACCTCATGTTTTGGCTGCTGTAAGTGTTGTGATTATATACTCTTAAAGATAACATAATTAAAAAATTTTGATTTTAAAACATTGTTCTTGGTCAGGGACTTTCAGATTTCAGCTAGTTTATTGAAGGTTGGTTGTTTTACTGTGAGTGCCTGACCATGCCCGATATAATTAGCTCTAAATTTCTTCCTTTCTACCACCTGTTGGGCTGCAAATTTCACCATAACTTTTCATCATAAAGAGAGACCCACTCTTGCCATGAATTAAATGTAACAGGTAAATTCTGATAGATATTTACAGAGATTTTCTTCGGCCATGTAAGTTATTTATAGGTCATGCAAGTAAATTATAAAATTGAAAGGAATTATGGCATAATGTAAAATGTAAACTTATTTTGACTTACACTTGTTCACACATCTTAATGTATCCTTGGATGGGCATGATGTCACTTTAAGAGAACCACGGTTAAGTAAATCATGAAGCTTATGATGAACTGTATACATTTTCTTTGAAATAAATTAGGCTGGGATGAAACATGGTATTGACTTTGGACGTGGTGGTTATGGTAGTATATATGTGGTTGCCAGTGGCAACGGGGGTCATGAAGGGGACAACTGTAACTATGACGGTTATGCAAACTCACTTTATACAGTAACTATAGGTAGGTGTAGGATTTTATTTTCAGACTTGTTGTTTGAATTGGGTTTAAAGTTCACTGATTGAATAGATGTATTAATTGTGAAAAATCATACTGTAATTGAAAGCAGTGGTGAACTGGTTACTTGTAGCACTATTACAGTGAAGAAGTCCTTATTTTCAAAGATTTTAGAATCCTTTATTCAATATTTTTATTTTGTAACTTTCAATTGGGAATATTTTTCTGTGGATTGGGAAAATAATATACTATTTTTAACTTGGAATATGACCCAATGACGGCTATAAAATATGCCCAAAAAATCCCTGTAATCAATGTTCAATCAAGTGTAATTTTTTTACAGAGCATAACTTTACCTACCCATTTCTGATAGGTTACCTGAAGGAAAGTATTATTCTGTGGTGTCATAATGTGGATATTTGAGGTTCTTGAGCTCCTTTATGGTATTCAGTGCAACCTCTCAAGAGAAATAACCATTATACAGCAACAGTCAAAATTCTTCTGAATGTAACTATTTCCTAGTAATGTAACCTGTCAAGAACAACACCTTTCAGCAACAACCATAATCTCTCCTATATGGTATTGCTCTGCAGAGAGTTGTAGTGGTATTGAACTATCAAGATAAATTTTCAAAATTCCAGAAATTTTACTCTGACTTTGTATGACTTTGTAATCTTTGTTTACTTTGCATGTTTGTTATGATGATGTTATGGTTATGAACTAAATATGTAATGGGTTCATTTAACATTTGAGCCGCACCATGACAAAACCAACATAATGGGTTTGCGATCAGCATGGATCCAGACCAGCCTGCGCATCCGCGCAGTCTGATCAGGATCCATGTTGTTCGCTATCAATTTCTTTACTTGTTAAAGGGTCTGTAAGCGAACAGCATTGATCCTGATCAGACTGCGCAGAAGCGCAGGCTGGTCTGGATCCATACTGGTCACAAACGCACTATGTTGGTTTTGTCATTGTGCGGCTCATTTTGTATTTATTATATAAAGGAGCTGTAGATGAGACAGGACATATGCCTTACTACTCCGAGGAGTGTGCCTCCATGTTGGCTGTTACATTTAGTAGTGGATCATGGGGTCAAACTAGAGATATTGTAAGCTGAGTTATATTTATATATGAAAATGATTGTTTTGAGTACAAAAATGTAATTATTTTCTCAAAATTTAAATCTTTGTAAACACTCTTTTTACTGATTTATTTATTGAAAATAAAACCAAAATTTAAATCTTTGTGAAAACTTTATTTACAGATTTTTTATTGAAAATAATAAAATCAATTTTTAACTCAATTCAAATAAATATCAAGAAATGATTATCATGGTCAAAGGGAAACAACTCCAATATAAATTATTAAACAAAATGAGAAAAACTTTACAAAAATTTGTTATGTCAACTGAAATCAGAAAGACAAAGTGAGGTTGGAAATTTATTTTTATTTGTAATTGTAGGTATATTTGATATACAAATGAAACATTTTCTGTAAAAGATAAAAATGTTTAAAATAGGGGTTTCTGATAAAGTTAACGATGATTTGAAAGTGAAACTGTTATTTTGTTATGAATTTATTCTTATTAAAAATAACTTTAATAATCCTTTAACTGAATTTGTGAAATGGACTTGTTTTGCTTTGAATTTTGAATAGTCCATTGTTGATTGAAGGGTTTTTTATTTTGATCCTAAAATTTAGCAGCCAACAGTATATAGTGTTTGGTCAGTTATAAATTTTAACTTAAGGGTTTTGTGAAAGCTTCATTCACATCTTTTTAAATTTGTTTTTGATAAGTACTTTGAGCTTTTAAAACCCTGATACTGAAAGTAAGTAGCCGTAAATTATCTTGAACTGGAAGTGTTTAGTCTTTGCCATTAGTAATAGTATAGAGCTAGATCAGTTTGTCTGACCAGATTCTTTACTATTAGTTGCTTAATTTTTGAATTTTTATTTTAAAATCCCTTAAACTTTGAATAAACTGTTCCAAATGGGAGGCAGGGCAAAACTGTTACATGAATTCTAGCTGGAAAAGGGTTCGACAACACTAAATTCAAAGTCGGACGATTCTATTCATGGAAAGTTTGACTTAAAATTCAGTTTTCCTAACAAAATTCTATTAAACTATATAACTATAGGTTACAACAGACTGGTTAGCACACAAGGAGTCAGTACGAGGATGTACGGAACATCACAGTGGTACGAGTGCTGCAGCTCCTATAGCAGCCGGCCTGATAGCCCTCATGTTAGATGTACAACCCTGTCTCACATGGAGAGATATACAGTACCTTATAGCTCTCACTGCACTCAAGGTTTGTTCATTGTCATAGATTTGTACTGTGAGTTTTAGCTGTGAAAAGTTTACTCTCTATATATCCCTAAAAAGACTCTATTAAACCCTCCAAGACAATAGATGATGACAGGAGGGCATAATGTTAATATCTCTCTGTCCTTTGCCGTGCATTACTTTGACTCTGGCCACAAAATGCTCACCATATCAGACAAAGACTTTGCTATTGTACTGAACAGGATTGTCACTTAGATTCAGTGAAATATGACATAATTTCCTTTACTTTTACTTTTAAGATCAAATTTTCAAAAAAAAACAACATTTTTTAACATTTGTTTTTCCAATATTACAGATATAGGGCAATTTTAACATGTTTTTGTGTTTCATTTATGAACAATAGCATGGTTTGTTTATGATTTATGAAAGACCTTATTTCATGAATTTTGTGCACATGCTTTATGAAAGACATAAAATTTTGTTGTTTTTTTTTTCTATGATAAAAGTAGTCAAAGTATTGCAAACTTTTCAGATTGTTAATTTTGGACACATGTACATCTTTTACCTATTACATGTATTGTTTTTTTTTAACAGGTAGACATAGATGTAGCTCACTGGCAGAAGAATGGGGCGGGGCTCTGGCACTCACATAAACATGGTTTTGGTCTTATGAATGCCTGGAGGCTTGTGAATGCTGCCAAGGTAAGTTATATTGTCACAAAATTGTTACAGGGTAATTACTACCAATAATGGATCAGAAAATGATTTTTTGAGCAAAGTTTAAACTGTATTAGTAAGAAGTTTGGCTACAAAATATTTATGAAACATGAGGGGTCTCAAGTAATTCAGGATGCTGATTTCAAAGTGCTTGTCCTTCATATCCTGCAAGAGACTTCGGATTCTTTCATTTAAGGAAACTTTTGAGCTAGCTTACAGAATGTTTGTTTATCTACTCAAGTGCCCAATCACTATGGAAATAATACATAGGGAGTCACCTGTTGTCTTCATTTAGGAAATAAATATCAATTTTGAGTGCATTTTGAGTGCATTGTTGTAAAATAATACATGGTTCGAGTTTAAATGTGTTGGAATATGATTAATTACAAAGCATTTGAACGTAAAATTAATATCTATCTCCAGTCTAACATAATAATAAAAAGAAAATTGTTTAAAATTTTAGGTTGAGCTACATTAAGCATCGAAGTAATTTTCCTGATGTCATTTGGTTTATATCTGAAAATATTTCTTTTTTATGTTGTCCATTTTTTAGCTCACCTGTCACAAAGTGACAGGGTGAGCTTTTGTGATCGCTTTTCGTCCGTCGTCCGTCCGTCCGTAAACTTTTGCTTCAAATGACATCTCCTCATAAACCACTAAGCCAATTTCATCCAAACTTCACAGGAATGTTCCTTTGGTGGTCACCTTTAAAAATTGTTCAAAGAATTTAATTCCATGCGGAACTCTGGTTGCCATGGCAACCGAAAGAAAAAACTTTAAACATCTCCTTTTAAAGAACCCAAAGAGCTAGAGCTTAGATATTTGGCATGAAACATCTTCTAATGAGTGTCTACCAAGTTTGTTCAAATAAAAGCCCTGGGGTCAAAATTGGCCCCGCCCCAGGGGGTCATTGATTTTCCCTATATGCATATAGTAAAAACTTAAAAAATCTTCTTTTAAAAGAACCCAAAGAGCTAGAGCTTAGATATTTGGCATGAAAACATTTTCTAATGGGTGTCTACCAAGTTTGTTCAAATAAAAGCCCTGGGGTCAAAATTGGCCCCGCCCCAGGGGGTCATTGATTTTCCCTATATATGCAATTATAGTAAAAACTTAAAAAATCTTCTTTTAAAGAACCCAAAGAGCTAGAGCTAAGATATTTAGCATGAAACATCTTCTAGTGAGTGTCTACCAAGTTTGTTCAAATAAAAGCCCTGGGGTCAAAATTGGCCCCGCACCAGGGGGGTCATTGATTTTCCCTATATGCATATAGTAAAAACTTAAAAAATCTTCTTTTAAAGAACTCAAAGAGCTAGAGCTAAGATATTTAGCATGAAACATGTTCTAATGGGTGTCTACTAAGTTTGTTTAAATGAAAGCCCTGGGGTCAAAATTGGCCCTGCCCCGGGGGTCATTGATTTTCCTTATATGTGTATAGCAAAAACTTAAAAAACCTCTTTGAAAAAATCCCAAATAGCTACAGTTTATATATTAAGCATGAAACATCTTCTAGTAAGTGTCTACAAAGTTTGTTCAAATTAAAGCCCTGGGGTCAAAATTGGCACCGTCCCTGGGGTCATTGATTTCCTTATATGTGTATAGCAAAAACTTTAAAAAATCTTCTTTGAAAAAAACAAGTAGCTAGAGTTAGATATTAAGCATGAAACATCTTCTAATAAGTGTCTACAAAGTTTGTTCAAATAAAAGCCCTTGGGTCAAAACTGGCCCCGCCCCAGGGGTGTCATTGTTTTTAACTATATGTGTATAGTAAAAACTTAAAAAATCTTCTTTTAAAAAACCCAATGAGCTAGAGCTTAGATGTTTAGCATGAACATCTTCTTATGGGTGTCTACCAAGTTTGTTCAAATAAAAGCCCTTGGGTTAAAATTAACTCGGATGGGGGGGGGAGAAGGTCATTGTTTTTCCTTATATGTGTATAGAAAAAATTTAACATCATGAAACATCTTCTAATGGGTGTCTTAACTCCAAGTTTGTTCAAATAAAAGCCCTGGGGTTTAAACTGGCCCGCTTCGGGGGCCTATATACAGGTGAGCGACCTCAGGGCCATCATGGCCCTCTTGTTGTGTAATTATGCTTTTATTTACCCTATATGTTTGATAGGGGAAAAGTGTGAAAGCATGGTAAAGCTATATAGTCTTCATATTTCCTTCAGCTACTATACAACTGTCATCTTTGAACGAAATAAAAAATTGATTATAATAACTGTATATACAGTAGAAAATATTAATATCCAATGAAAATCCTTGTTACAAACATGGAATATCATTTTTATTTGGTTTACAGGTATGGGACCAGGTGCCCTGGCAAACATCAGTGGAGTATAGTGAGAAAAAAGTTTCAATACCAATCACTAAAGGTCGCTCTAATCCTTTACAACTTACTTATACAGGTATATTCTTATTTCATAGGTGTCTTTATCTGAATCATTTTTCTTTATCAAGAATGATAGGTACTTTTTGTTGTGTTTAAGTTGAGTTTAATAGTCATCATTTAAGTCTCAACCCTCTGAATTTCTTAAATGGACTTGTCCAGCTTCCATTTCTGGAACAGTCCATTATCAAATTTATTTTGGGGTATCAAGATGTAAATTCTAAGTTGGTTAGTCAATTGGATCCATTGAACAAGGGAAAAGTGATCTGCTATTGAATGTCATTATTTTGTGCACTATTGTCAAACATTTTAAAGAAAAATTCATTAATGCTTGATTGTTAAGAATGCTTGAAGCTGATATAAACCATTTGCAAATGCTTCCTGGACCTAACTTATACTGGTGTCATAATTATGAGGAGTCATGGCTATGATCTTAGTAGAGTTTGAACCTGTGACCCCTGGGTTGAGAGGTAGACATCTTAACCATATCTCTAGGGCTCCTCTTGGACTATTTTTTTTACAGTCTGTTTCAATTCAGATGCTAGTTTATTGTTTTGACAATATACCTAAACAAGAACCAAATATATTCCAAAAAGAAATTTGATAATTAACCTTGGCTTATTTTATTTGTATACAACATTGTACAAATTTGTTAGCTTGATTAGGTTACTAGATTTTACTTAATAGATTTACTCCGGAATTAAGAATATTTGTGTTTTTCCCAGCTAATCCGTTGGTACACACATCGTTTTATCAGTTACAGCCTCGAAAATAAGTGCAACAGGTTGTCTAATCTAATGTGATGGGCAGTGCACTTTGAAGCTATTGTGGTAAAAGATTGTTTGTACCTACAGATTATCTGTGGAAAAACCCACATTTGCTGAGTTCCGGATAACATCTATTTTGACCTGTCAGCAGTATGAATATGGTTTCATTTCATTTTTTGTTTGTTTCTCAACAGTGACAGAGTCAAATGCCAATGGATTTGACCTATATATACTAGAAACTGTGCAAGTGACCTTGACCTTGGATCACCCATGCAGGGGTTTTCTAGACTTCAGAGTGAAGAGTCCTCATGGTACAATGTCTGTGATTGGTGCATCTAGACCACATGATGAGTATGTATGACATAGATGTAATCTATTTATAGATAAATTTATCGCCTCTCCCAGCACTGTTCTGAATTGGGGCATTGCTCTGGTAGTAACACTCTAGGAAATGCTAGTTTGATACCCAGCTTTTTCAGCTAAACTTACTAACAAGTATTTCGATAGGGACTTTAATAATTAAATTACCATTTAATTGTTTTTAACACCTTAAATTTAAAGGAAGCAGTTATATCTCCTGAATTGAAGTAATTTCTGTATCAGTTGGCTCCATTATATAAAATAACTGAAGATTTTCTGGAGTGAGATGCCAATGTAGGTTTCTGGTTGTGACTATAAGTAAATGTAAAACAAAACCACTTACTCCCTGCCCCTCACAACCTTATCCTAACCCCAGTAGATTACTAAGTTGTGCTTCTGCATATGCTTAGTTTTAGGACACAAACATCATCGTTTTTGTACATTTTAATAAAATTTGTAATAGATCATTCATTTGTTAATTAATTTGATTGTTACAGCTCACCTAATGGATTTGACAAGTGGACATTTTCTACTGTTAGATGTTGGGGAGAGTCGCCTGTTGGTGAATGGACAATATTCATCAGAGATTCGGGTATGTGTGTATATTTCAAAACGCTAAACTACTGTTGACTTATATACCTTAACTCTTTAAGGCCCATTAAGCCCCTTAAATGCTATCATTTTATATTTCTCAAAACCATTTTATTTTTTTGTGTCTTATGTTTTGCTTTGTTTACAATAGGTATAATTATAGTGTGTTAGTATTTTGTATGGAAGTCAAAATACAATGTACTACTTTGTTTACATTTTGGTACCTTTGCAACACATTACTGCATGTTGAACACTACTTTCTGCAATAGTTTAACAAATAAGTTCCTCAGTTAATCTATGTAAAAAAATTCACATTTTATGTTCATAGGCTTTTAGACCTCAGTTGGGTTCCTTTTGTGTAAAATATGTGTATTTATTGAAACTAACGGAAATAAACATTTCAGACAATGGAAAATATGGAATGGGAACACTTCGTAGCTGGACCTTGAAGTTGTTTGGAACACCTATGGCACCTAAAGAATTTAAAAGAAGGAAAAAGTAGGCTTAAAATATTTATATTATACATGTATATTCCTAAAATGTCTGACTGTATGGCCTATTTCTGCCAGGAAATACGAACTTGTTCATGTCAGGAAGCTATTCAGTGAGCTAACAGAAAGGCGAGAGTTCAGCTCATGTGCTTACAAAGACCACCTGAGGTCTTCCCTCAGTAAAAGTGGAAAGTCACCACTACTACTGTGTCTGTTTAACCAAACCAAAGGAAAATATAAAAAATGTATATATATAGTGAATATTGATCACTTGTCACATCTGTGACATATAAACTGTGACATCACAACTGACAAGATATAAGTGTGACATGCATACTTTATATGAAAGTTGTAACATGCTTTTATTGATATAAATTGTCATTTTCAAACTTTTGATTTCTTTGGGTAAAATTTTAAAGACAAGTTGTTATTTTCCGTTTTTCTTTTGACAATTAACAGTTTGGTGAATGAGGCCCTGCATGGGGGATTTCTGAACAGTACAAGCAGATGTATACCCCCTCCTGTTACCTCAAAACCTGATGAAATCATGTCGGTGAGAATACTGAAGGTAAATATAATCTTAGGCCAGTTCTTTTATACCATGGCTTTGATTTATATAGAATTTATTTTATTTTATTTCGATTTTTTTGGAAGCTATAATCTTATAGACACAGTTTCGAATTAGTACTGAGCAATGAGTGTAAAGTATCTTGGTCAAAGAAAAAATGACTTGCCCCTAGTCCAACCCTCTAACCACTCGGCCATGCCGCCTTAAAATTGTTCCCTCATTTCATAGAATTTGGAACAAGCAAACCACAAGCCATATGGGCAAGTGCTTGGCAATATCTGCTAGCCCAATTAAGATTTAACAAGCTCAAAAATTATTCTTTTAAATTGGAAAGTAAATTCAAGAATGATGACTTAAACAGTTATTTTGTAATTCTGTCCCCTGAATAAAGGATAAATTAATTAGTTGTTCCTTTTGAAATTCAGTCATTCCACTTTCAGAAACTAAGGTAAATTGACTTTCCACAGGTCAGTTAGGCAAGTTCCTTAGAAAATGATATGACCTTGACCCAAATTCAACTTGACATGAAGTAGTGAGCTAATGTTAAATTCAATGACATCTTTTATATATTTGTACTGAAAGATTTTGCGTCTTATATCAATAATTTTCCAGCCTGCTTCTTGAAACTTACCAGAACTTTTGTTATGCCATGTCCTGAGCAGGTCTGAATCCCTTGACCCTTGAGTAAAGAGACATATATTAAAATATTTAATCATTATGCCACAACTGCACACCTTATAGCATAAATTTGACTGACAGTTTTATTATAACAATAATATAAATTCATACAATTTTTTTCTTTTCTTTTGAAGGTGATCTGTATGACAGGTGCACTATGTTTTTTATTTGCTGTTTACGAGTCATTTGAATATTTATTCTGCTATAATGATGAGAAAAAAGAACAAACAAAGTATATGAAGTTGATGAAACAAGCGCACCGACTGGCTAGAGAGCATATCTACAACCAGCCAACCAACTCGGAGACAACCGGACTACTTAATGATAACATTCCTATGCAAACATTCCCTACATCTGACCTCTCTGACCCTGATGGTTCAAGGTCAACAAGTGATACAAGGTCAGCAGGTGGATATAACTCAGTGGGTGGTTTAGGTGACCGAAGAGAAGGTCAAGGTGAAATGTTAGGTGACCTTACAGAAGGTCATGGTGAAAGGTCAAATTCAGATGATTCTCTTATACAGGCGGGTCCATGTGATGTGGAAGTACACAATAGTCAGAACGGAGAAGTTTCAGCAAATGTTATACATGAAGTGAATGGTGAAATAAATAGTGCTCACTCAGCTGCGGTTAGTGACAATGTAACACATTCCCGCATGACTGACCCTGAGTCTAAAGGTGAAGGTCATTTAATTAGTGATACTCTTGCAGCGTTACAAGCAAAGGTCATGAGTAAAAAGCAAACAAAAAATGGGTACACTCTTTTACAAGACTGTTCTGATGAATCTGAAACAGAATTTTAACCAAACACATTATAAATAATACAAGACATACCTGTATTGAGTTTCTTGTGGGAGATTTAGCCCTCATTTAAATACTTCAATCAAATTTTAACTAGTTTTTACCTCTATTTTAATGAAATTGTAAAGGAAAATCCTTTTAATCTTTCTTTACATCAAAAATTGATTATCTACTTACACATTAATAGTTATGTTACTGAGGATGCTCTAGAACTACTAGTAAGTTAGGGGTCTGTATGATAATATGTGTTGATTGACCTGATTATGTATTTCTATTTAGTGAATAAGGAATAACTCTGACCTTCTCAGAGCTAACTTGGATAATGTTAGGCCTTTACCATGAGATTTCAGCAGGGTCAACAAGTACATCCAGACTGTATACTAATATACTGTTACTGTTTCATTTTAGAACTTTGATACTGAATTCCCTTTTACTAGCAATGAACTCTTCCAAATTTATTTTTTAAAGTAAAGACAGCACATCATTTAGCAAGGTTTTTGTAACAGAAATACTTATATAAATGTTATGAAATTCTTTTGCTATTTTTAATTTCTGATAAACAAATTTGAAAATGAGTAATTATGATACTAGTAGAGGATGTGCATTATAGAAGGTATAATTATATGGTTATGAATTATTTATGTAGACCAATCAGGACATAGTAAAAAGAAAGATAAATGATGAGGTTAAAGATAAATTGCATTTAGCATTATTTTAATTGCATTATTTTATTTGTATTATTTTGTAAATGATCTTAAAATTCTTGCAAAATTTGTCATTGGAGCCCTTTGTGCCACCCTGTCCTTGATTTGACAACAGTTTTATTTATGTCGTGAAATCTTGTGAGAAGTCTGTTATAAACGAAATACTTGGGATTTTTTTTAACAACATAGTAAATTTTAATGATCAGCATATTTGCATAAATATATAGGTCTTATATAGAAAAAATATAGTGTATAAAACTTCCATGTAAAATATTATTTATGTGGTAAATAATTGTCACTTGAGGGGTTTAGAGTAGTATATATGGTTTTAGCTAGAAATAAACTGCGAGTTTTAATGTTGTAAACATTGTTTGATTTGTTAAATTATATTTTTAAGTTAAATCATATCAGTTTATTTTGGGTTTATATTTGCATCTAGATTTTGAATAAATTTAAGATAGGTTATTGTATAAAATGTTAGCTAGTGTAGAAATTTTATTCAATTTATATATTTTGTTTAATATCACAAGTATGGAAAAATCAGGCTGCTTTAAATTTCACATTGAATAATGTTAAAGGAATAAATTAACATTTTAAACCATCATCAGAGGCCACTGGCTTTAAACCACTTTCCCTGCTCTTCACCACTCCTGGTTTCAATTCAGGGATTTTGTGTTCATTCATGTGAGGACGCTGTCGAGCTGACTTATGAAAGGTTAGCGGTTCTACTCAGGCTTTTGCCTGAAATATTGTACAAAGAGTCATGTAAGGTCTTTCTTCATCCAATAAAGCTGAAAACTCCTGAATAATGTCAGTGATTTTAAAACCCAGCAAAATCACAAACTACGAGGAAAACTAATGTTTTATGATACATCCTCAAAACAGCAGGTAATGAAATTATAGTGAAAAAGTATAATTATGTAAAAATTATGTCAGTAAATAAGATGGGCAAAGTCTTCCTTTAGAGCATTGTAAAATGTCTTACTATGCAATAAACAGACTTAGATAGTTGGATGGGGTTGTTATTTTATCTTGCCTAGATTTATGGCAGTTTATTGCAGTCTGCATGGTTTAACACATTTTCAAATAAAATCAAACAAAATAACTAAATAATTGAAAATGTACAAATAGTGTTTTAAGAAATGTATAACTATTCAAAATCAAGTGATACTTGGCAAGTTATGTGCAAAATATTTTTTTATATTCTGAAAGGAGTTATGCCCCCTTTTAATCAGCAAATTAAGGGTTAATAATATACTTCTCTATTTTCTAACTGTTATACAAGGTCATTTTCTCAAAATGTTGATTTCTTAATATTTTGAAATTTTTATTTTCTTTACAAATATTTTTATTTTTTTGTTTTGATTACTTGAAACTTTACTACTTTATTTTCTGAATACCTTAAGCTGTTTCTGTGATAATGTGGGTAGACAAATTTTGAATGTATATCACCACCTGAATGCAGTAATGGATTAACTCCTATTAAGATTTAGTAGGAGTTAACCCATTACTGCATTAAGGTTATAGTATGTTTTTGTAAATCCAGCTATTTGCTTGCTTGCTTGCAATATTATCAATTATGAAATTGTAAAGTTTCCTGAAATTATTGCCCTAAAATTTGACCTTATTTTTTTGTCAGAAGTTGCTGGAAAGCCTGGAATATAACACCGTCCAGCTCTTATATTACTCTGTGAAATATATTTTGATCTTACATACAATACAAGCAAATGTCCTCTATATATAAGATTTATTTATTAACTTTAATTTGTTATTGTTGATAAATGATACCTTACCATTTTTATGTTCATATTTTGTTAACTTTATTCAAACGTGTTCATATTTTTCTATCTTTATTCGAACATGTTCATATTTTGTTATCTTTATTTAAACATGTTCATATATAAGTTGGTGCTGATTGCATTGCTAGTCAAAGTATTAGATTTTATGCATATTTACTGGGAAATCTTATATATATTATTGTTATTTTGTATGCCCCTACTTATTTTTTTTTTTATCAAGAACAGTGAGACTATCCTATTTACCATATAGCAAGGAGTTTGCTTGCTTCTGAATTTACTTTTTGTGTGAAGATTTTGCTTGCATCTTAAATTCTTATGTTATTATGTTAAAACTAAAATAATGCCTGAATTTAATATACTGATCTATTTTTCTCTAATATTTATTGTTGTAGATATGTATTTACAATATTTCTTATTACTTGTTCAAATCCCACAATTATTTACACAATAACTATGTAATGTTTAAATTTTATGATTTTTACATGATAAAATTATATGTAGTTATTAATGTATTGATTTATTTTTGAATCTTGTCTGTATGTACAATATGAAAGTACGATGAAAAATTCCGTATTTATCTTCTAATTGTATATTATTGTGATTTTTTTTTCATATAAATTATGATGAAATATTATCGAATATTGTTGAACTGATTTTATTTTTGGGACATATTTTTTTATACAATTTGAATGCATAGTAAAAATTTGCTTGCCCATATGGTAATTTTCTGGTAGCGATGGAAATCCAGACTTAAAGGAACTCCACCAAGGTTTAAAAGCATAAAAACACAACATTAATTTCTTACATCTATATATATTTAGATCAGCTGGTGTACTTAAAAAAGAAAGCTTTGCAAAAAATAATTAAGAAATATACTAAGAAATATATTAAAAAATCATATTTTTGTGCTATTTTTAGCCCGATTTGACAATTTTGGGTCATTTTCACAATTAAAACGATGATTCTGGGAAAATGGAGGAAGCAAATTATCTGAAGTTTTCCCCACAAGTTACTGATCTAGATCTACATCAAATGAAACATTTATGCCGAAAAATTATCTCCAATCCTGTCATGTCAAAAAAACATCAGTAGAATTCCTTTAATTCATGAATTATTCAGGAGTATGAACATTTATACATACAGAAATGTCCCATGAAATAATTCACAACCATAGTGATTTTTTATGCATATGAAATGTCAAATTTAATACAAATATAGCATTGTAAATGTTAAACCTTTTTGATGGGGATTTGAGCTTAATTTTCAGAATATCTGGCACTTCTTTTGTAATGGAAATTCACAATCATTTCAATGAAATTGATAGAAGTTAAAGTTTATGTATTGAAGTGTATTAATAATGCAAGTATATTTCTGGAAAAACGATATTTCATGTGTTATACAATCAGTCACTGATAATCAAAGAAACCATGTACATAATACCTGTATACAATTTGTGCAAGCACTAAAAAGTTCACCTATTTTAGGTCTTGTTTGCTTTTTATATGAATTTAAAACATTTTTGGTAATATCCCAGCAGTTTGTTCACCAAAATGGCCGTCCTGGATGAATAGCCAATTAATTAACAATTTCTCGAAAAGTGATCAACTAAAAATCCAATATGATTTCTGGGATTTTAGGTCAATCCCAATACATATTATGAATCATATAAAAGAAAATCAGGTGCATTTGATATGCATTTACATGTGTTATATTTTATTTTCAGATGCTATTTTATAAATTTAATATTCTACAAATATGTTCATAAAAAATAATTTCAAATCTGTGGTGCTTATTTCTTTCAGGTTATGTTAAATGTTACACTTATGTTTCAGGTACCTAACCCATAATCTGCTGGAACCAAAAGTGATAAAGCCTTTGCCAACAGTATAGTGCCAGGTCAGCCTGCACTACATGTGCAGTCTGACCAGGCTCTATACTGTTGGTAGATTAACCCTTAAAGTGCTGAAACCAAAAGCGTTAAGCCTTTGCCACCAGTATAGAGCCAGGCCAGCCTGCACATCCGTGCAGTCTGACCAGGCTCTATACTGTTGGCTGACAAACTTTAAATATTAAAATAAATTGACATCCCTAAAATTGGAAATGGACAGTCCCAAAAATGGAAGTTGGACAAGTCCATTTAAGATATTCAGCATGTTCAGGGTTAATTTTTGTATCCATGACAAATCAATTAGTAATATTCAGCAGATTAAGGGTTTAAAACCAGTAAGGACATTTTTCTTGTATAACTGAGAATGTGCAATTAAAATACAAGTATATAGGTATTTAAAATTTAAATTTCTTATTCATCTATAATCAATATTGCTATGCATAATTTATGCAGGTTTAATTTTCTATTGTTTATTTTATTGTTTAGGCTTCCATTTGTGTATATATTTATATTTTTGTTGTTAATCCATTTAAATACAGGTAATTCTTTTATGTGATAATTTTATGAGGGTATATTGTATATTTATAAAAATGGGGAATAATGAAATAAAAGTAATATAAAGGAAAGAGGTGTCTTGTTTATATTTCATTGCAGTTAGTTTGTAATTAATTGGTCTTTAATGCCAAGGTGATTAAAGTTACTAAGCCACTTGCCTGTTAATACTGTGTGGTCAAACCTTTGCCAATGACATTGGTTTCTTTCATGTCTTGAAGCTATCTAGCTAACGTAAGACAGATAGGTAGTATATTCTACTCATATTCGTGCCTGAAAAGCACCAAAAGGCCATATGACCTCGACAGTGACAGTATGACTCATAACCCAACCTAACGAGAAAGTTATTGATGAATTTGTGTAACAAACTTTCTGTAAATAATTGATCTGAATCTGTTTTGACAGAAATACAATGGAATTTTTAACATCAGTATGAATGATATAGGGATAGAGATTTAAACTTTGATATCATTTGATCTAGATTTTGACCAAGTGACCGACATCATTTGATCTAGATTTTGACCCAGTGACCTACAAAGCTACAACTATGAAAAGAAATTTGGACTACCCAGTTTCAAATGCAGATTTGGACTTCAATATCAGATGACCTACTTTTTTACCCAGTTTCATACTTTTTAGCTCATCTGCACATTATATGTTTATGTAGTGGTTTTTTTCAGGTGAGCAATATAGGGTCTTTCTTGTCCAAAATATTTTCCAATGAAAATTTTTTTGGGAAAAGATCATTAAAAATAGAGACAAGGCTGGTAACAATTGTACAAAGGTGACTTTGCATGCTATTTAAAACCCAGCCCTGATTCAAAGATATTAACAAGAACATATCTAACAGACTAGGGGCTATTTTTAGCTATATTTTATTAATCTTATGTGGGTATGCCACCTGGGTAGGCAGGCTTATACATTACATTCAAACAAGAGATAACAAAACACATCTTATTTCTTATCTTCTAAAATTTAATTAATATAAATGATAAGAATTAACAGCAAAATATAACAAACATTTTTGGTTTTCTTAGCACTATCAATAATAAAAGAAAGAATTCGTATATCATTTTAAGATATTGTTGTGTTTAACATTTCATGTAATCTTTCAGTAGTGTATATCACAAATACCAGTTTAGAAAAAGTTCATAAAATAATAATAATAATTTTCAACCTTTCAGTGTTTGATTATTAAACCCTTTACAACATATAAATACATGTCATATGAAAACTTATATAGAGGATATTGAATGAGTGTAGTTTAATACTAAATTTATTGAACGAGTTAATAAAATCATATTATGCGAGCCTCTGGCGAGCAAAATATTGTTTCATTCATTTTCGAGTTCAATAAATTATGTATTGAATATAAGACACAATATAAATTCTATTTATCAATATATAAACTAAGAACGGTAAATCTGTTAAAATGAGTAATGTTTTAAATGACGCGCCCATAATGTAGAAGCTAACATTAGCGCTGCTTTAACAATCAGCTGTTCTATTGCGAAATGGTCACTCAATGTTATTTTCTGTGTAAATGTTTTTATAAATGCATTATTACATCCTGAAGACCTTTTATATGTGAATAAAAAGTAATATGCATAAAATTCATTGCATCCTTAATAAAATAAGTAAGTAAGAGCAAGCCAGTATAAATCCATGGTCAACCAAGACTACCTAGTACAATCCTGACAGGCTTGTTAAATCCAGGCTGCCTTATACAATCCAGACTGACCGTTTAAATCCAATCCAGAAAGACTAGGACAATCCAGGCTGCCTTTAACAATCCAGGCTGTCTTTTACAATCCAGGCTGTCTCTGTCATTACATGGTGCCTTATACTCTTATTTTTGTAGGTAAATTTTTTTTGAGCTCAAAGAAATGTATATGAAATGAAGAACTCATTTGTATCATGGTGAATGAAAACAGGTGCAATGCAAAGATTTGTGCTTCAATGAATTACAAAATTATAAACAAACTGTTTTCACCAACTTTTGACAAATGACTGAAATTTAAACACCTGATACATCAAATGAAAACCTATCTCATGTGATAATAGATCAATGCTTATTATTAGCCTTTTAATGGGAGGGTGATTAGCCTTTGCCACCAGTACTGAATCAAGCCAGGCTATACATCCATGCAGTCTGACCAGAATCTATGTTAGTTGCTTAACTTTAATATTTTCATATTGATATCCATTCAATTGCAATGGACTTGCCCAAATTAGAATCTTTGCAGGGAAAGTCTATTTATCTAAATTAGAAAGGGAGAAGGGTCAAAGCATATGTATCAAAATGTTATTTTTGTTCATGATTTGAGTAATAAATAAATATATACCATATCAATATATAAGTATATTTCAGTCTATCTATTACACAGTACTAAAACACATGTTAAAATTATGCATTATTCCAGTGGCTATACCCATTGTCTTTAGACAGTACACCACACTAGTTAACATAAAACTATAGGAAAATCTCTTTAAGTATTCAAAATTTAAGTAGCCCTATCTATAAGATTGGACAACATTATAAATATCTGACAAAAAGTTCTGGATCTTCTTTGAAGACAGTTATATCTCTTAAATCTTTGAATGAAAGTTGGCATTAATGATTTGCCTATACCATATATAAAGTGCCAGGCCAGCCAGCACTATCATGTCCATGGGACAAGTCAAAACTCAAGCTTAACATGTCCGTCATGCACTATATACATTTACCACAGTTAAGATTAAAGAAAATGAATGATTCTATAAAATCTATGACAACATAAAAGCATACTACATCACAATTACAATATCTAAATATAGGAACAAAAACATTTCTTTGAAAAACTGAACAAATAAGAATATCTGTACATAACAAAAGTTCAGCAAAGGTTATAAATATATATATATAAACATACAAATTGCACATTTACTCATTAATCATTTAGCATAGAAATGAAAATTAGATAGTTGTGAAAATGGTTGTATTGAATTTTTGAGCCAGATGCACTTTACCAGAACATAAAAATAGACCAAAGTTCCTGTAACTAGCATTCTTCATGTTAGCAACAGCTAAACAGAAGCACGTATGTAAGGCTATAGATATTTGTTCATCATTCCATTATGGACAGTTTCTAAAGAGGAAGCTGGACAAGTCCATTTAATAAAATTTGGCAACGTAAGGGTTAAGTATGCTAGAATTTGAAATGGTGTATCTGCAAGAATCTCACAATAAAAAATGAACCTAATAGTTACATTCAAAGCCAACTAAATAAAAATCTCACACACATATTTCACGAGAATCAATTATAAATTATGTAAAAACTTCAAAACTGTTTCTAGAGTGTAACAAAACAAATATATAATGACAATAAAATGCAATACATTAGCAAACAAAATAAATTAACAAAAATCAAAATTTAAAATTTTGGATTTCTAAAACTTCATATAATTATATCAGATCAGTAATTCTATACAGTTTCAAAGAAAAAACATAAACAATCATTAACAGGGGTTTACAGGTACTGGTTGTACATGTATATAGAGACCATAGGCGTAAATTTTACATTTAACCCAATACCTGCAATAACAGCGAGTGATTAGCTTTTGCCACGAGTGTAGAACCCGGCCAATTCTCACATTTTTTTATATTGAAATCCCTTAAACTTTGAATGGACTGTACTAAATTCAAAGAAGGGCAAACCAATTACACAAATTCAGTAGGTTCCAGGGTTAAAAAATTAAACAAGATTGTATTTGTGAAAAAAATGCTCTGACATGTAGTATACAAAGAACAATCCTATCTATTTGATTAAAATCAGACTTGTGGTTTTTAAGAAGAAGATTTTTTAAAGTTTCACAATATAATCTATATAACAGACATGCAAACATGTGTATTGGTATATGCCACTGCAGCATCTGTGATCATGTATACTGTAAATCATACATAGGTAATGATATTGTACTTAGACATCAGGCTTGTATAATGGAAATTATTTTAGCAAAAAATATAAAACAAGGTGAAAAACATGGTCTAATTATGATTACACGAAAATCAGATTTCTTGTAAGAAAAAGCAAGAAAATTGCTTGCATGTAAGTTTTTGAATGGTAAAAAAGATATTACAAGGTGGAATATGCAATATAATGAGTATCTTTAGGCAAATTATATTGATTTTGATGACTGATGTAAACAAGCAATATGAAATGCATTGCAACTATTTTATAATGTGAAGGGACTTTACTCAAATTTTGAGCACTGTTTAAGAATATATTAAAGCACTTTACAAGCATTATTTTCATCAAACAATATTGACATAAGCCAACTTATGGCATTAAACAACTTTATGGCGTCTTTGGATGAATAGAAATTTAAACCAGCATCAGCAAAAATATAAAACAAGATGTATTCCTTATACACTTAATGTCCTTAACAAAAAAAAGCTGAGACTTGTTTTTAATACTATTTCCACTAATATACTGTATGATATTCAAAATTTTATCTTTTTGTTCTTTTCTTAAATCATTCATCTTGTAAATACAACTCTGTATGTCCAAATATCTCATTAACATAAACTTTACAAATCCTCTTTATGATCATTTAGTAGAATGAAGATTGTTTGCAGCAAATTTTGGCTTGGATACATTTGTTATAGGCCTACATAAAAAAATAATACTCAATACATCACAAATGCTTATTTATCTTTTCTGAAGAAATAAGCGTAAAGTCAGTGTACATCAAAAATCTGGAAATAAAATATTTTCTATGGAACTTTGTATCATAAATTTTTTCTATCGTTTTTTTTAGTTTGTACATTTCACTCTGTCCACATAATTGAAAATTATAAATCAAAACTAGAACTGATACTGTCATGGCGTGAATACCCCTGCATACCACTTTGTCAGAATCGACAGTGGCCATTTAGAACTCCAGGACAACCTCCCTGCCAAATCTGAGGTTACTAAGCCAGTGCATTGCTAAGTTATGTATTCTACTTCTACATGCTTCAAATGTAAAAATGTCAAAATCAATACACTCTGGACAGGCATTCTGAAGCAATTGAGGGGAAAAGCTTTTTGACAAGGTCCCTGTGACCTTGACCTTTGACCTGGTGACCTCAAAATCAATAGGCGTCATCTACTAATCATGACTAACCTTCATGTCAAATATGAAGACTGTGGGTCAAAGGAATCTTAAGTTATTGGGCGGACAAGCTTTTGGAAGTCAAGGCCCCTGTGACCTTGACCTGGTGACCTCAAAATCAATAGGCGTCATCTACTAATCATGACTAACCTCCATGCCAAATATGAAGACTGTGGGTCAAAGGAATCTTATGTTATTGGGTGGACAAGCTTTTTGATGTCAAGGCCCCTGTGACCTTGACCTTTGACCTGGTGACCTCAAAATCAATAGGGGTCATCTACTAATCATGACTAACCTCCATGCCAAATATGAAGACTGTGGGTCAAAGGAATCTTAAGTTATTGGGCGGACAAGCTGTTTGATGTCAAGGCCCCTGTGACCTTGACCTTTGACCTGGTGACGTCAAAATCAATAGGGGTCATCTACTAATCATGACTAACCTCCATGCCAAATATGAAGACTGTGGGTCAAAGGAATCTTAAGTTATTGGTCGGACAAGAAAAAACCGACGGATGGCCGGACAGCCGGAGGGCCGGACAGCCAGACGGACAAGCTGATTCCAGTATACCCCCCTTACAACTTTGTTGTGCGGGGGTATAAATATCATACTATTTTAACTTTCAGACTTAGACTGGTAATTTTTTCCTTCCTTTCTGTCTTGCTACATAACCCTTCTTATCCCGGACCCCTTCTTCATCCAAAAAATAATAATTTTTTCTTCAAACTACAGTGGAGCCTTGTTGGTCCACATGAGTTTGGATTACATGTATGAATTGATTACATTGACAAATACAATGTCACAGAAATAAATCGGTTTTTGTATATGAAAGTAAATCTACATGGCATTGTTAATGTAAAATGGTTAAATAATAAAGATTGCATTTAGCAAAAGGTTCATTGTGCAATTACTTCGATCAAGGATATGTTTCTAAATCTCATGATTTTACCATACTGGACCATGTGCGTAGCTTCCACACCTTGTGTGATTCCAGCCTAGCAGAATCCACAAGTCGAATAAAAGTTCCAGATCAACTTAATCTTAAACAAACCCCCACTTCTATTGAAGTGAACCAGAGGTATTAAAGTGTTCTGAGTGTTTTTTATCATGAAATTTGTTCATACAATGTTTTTTGATGCAGTGATATTGAGAAAATTCCTGTACACTCTCGCTGTTTTTGGGAACAGTTTGACAAAGGCAACAAGCTAGCTGAAGCATATCATCATTGGTTTAAGTGCCGCTGTATAATCATTTTAAGACTCCGGTTCGGTGTAAGATCCTGGGTAGATAGTACAGCATTTGTCATTGGACTTCTATCTTTACCTTTCTGTATCCAACTTGTTATAGCTGCACGTTCGTATGTATAACCATCTAAAATAGGAAATAACATTACTAATACTTATTTATTCAGTCGGGTTTTAAGTCACATCAACAAAGTAAAGGTCATTTTGACAATACCATTCATAATTTTACCAAAATCTGGAACTAAGTACCGATCAAATAGCAAACAGCACATACCAAGATCAGAGCGCATTTGCCAGTCGATAATGGTTGCCTTCCACGATTTAGACTCAGTGTTAACCACTAAAGATAGAAATTCTTTGCTTTAGTTTACTGTGTCATTTTATAAGGAATAATATATGTATATGAAATGACACAGTAAACTAAAACAAGCTGCAAAGAATTTCTAGCTTTACTGGCTAAGGAAGATACCAAGTGCCCCTCCCTGCATTATTTAAATGGCAAACAACCTTCCGTAAGAACATATAAACAACATCTTTATATATTAATGGTTATATTAATTTCAACAAACATTGACATAATAAATCAAACTCTGTATCTGTCTAAATAACTTTATCAGTCATTGAACATTTATCATGATCAATCTTATATGAAAGTACTCCTGAAAGGAATGCTAACACCTGTTTATAATTAAAATATTTGTTTAATCCATAAATATAACACTGTTTTATTACATTTATACAGCTTTTGAATAAGACTTACATTTTCTTATACATTCATTACATAAAATGTGTATTTAAATGAGGTATGACTGAGGAAAAGCTGTAATAACTGATAAATTTACCTGAGCATATTACAGGATCTTTCATAATCTCCCTGGTGATTGGACACAAAAATTCATCAGGAACCCCAGCATCTGTAAATGATAAGTTACATGAAGCACCATTGACTTGAACAATTGTTTCTTTAACAAACACCCTTAAAATGGTGAACCACTATTAAGTTTGTTTGATTGTTTTGTTTTGATTTTTTTTGGGTTAAACTGCCACACTGACACATTACTGGCCAAAACTCACTTTTAAGTAACTTACACCAAAAGGTAAATACAATAAAGATTTCCAAAAGGTAAATACAATATAGGTTTCAAGTTACATAAAAAAATGCTTCGAGTTTTTCAGTAACTTTATGTAAAAAACTCTCCTTGTGAGATATATACATTTTAAATGAAAATACTAATTAATTCATTATCGAAAATTCCTAATCTTTTACATGTTTAAGATATGAGTACAACAGTGCTACACTTACCAAGTTCCTTCTGTTGCACAAATGGATGTTCCAGGAGTCGACTACGACAACGTAGTATCTTGTTTCTGTGACCAAGGGAATCTAACAATAACAAATACGATAACTTTGTATTCATATTACTGTAATGTATGCTGTGGTTTCAGTTTCGTTAAACCCTAAAGAAGGCATATTGACCTAAAAAAAATTCTTTGTTTTCAATCACACTAACAATGAAAAGGTCACATGTTGTCATCCCGGCTTCACTGGTGAGCGCTATCTTTTGTATTAAAAGGACTCCATTGAGGTTTTTGAAATAAAGAGACTGGGAATCATTGTTCAAGATTAATGTTCCATTTAATGTAGGTTATTTCTGAGTATATGCTTGAATTATCATTTGTTTATCGTTCTGTTATAACTGCCCAAGCTATCTATGTAAGAAATTCAAATTTTATGTTTTTAGACTTTGGACCTCAGTGCAGTGCCTTTAATTAAAGCAGGCATCAACTGAACTATTATACATGTACATAAAAGAAGTTTCTGGTGGGAATGACTTTTAATTTTATTGTAACAGTTGTAATGTTGAATACATTTAGCTTGAACATATGCAAAATCATGCTATTGTGTACAAAAGGGTGGGTTTTCATTAGTCAAGCAAACCCTCTTTGAGGTATTATATAGAAAATTAAATGCAAGGAAACAATTATTATGACCAACTTAGTTTTCTCTCAAACTACATTCACATGTGCAAACAAAATTCAAACAAGTCTTGAATAACAAAATATTCATAGGTGATGTTTATTTAATGTTTAAATAACTGCAAAGTAATAAATATACATTTTGTACATACCAACACCTAGCCCTATCATCAAACTTTCCTGATTCAGGGTGAGTAACTCCTGTCCATCAATATCGTGTTTTCTAAAGTTATCTTTGTACTGGTCTAGTCCTATCTCCTCTATCCATGTACATACATCATCTACCGTCCAGTTCTCCGCACCACTACAGGTCTCGTATACATCTACGCTATCTGTCTGTGGTGCATCCTCAATATGCAAGCCATCCTCTAAGGCAGCTAGTTAAAGATAGTGATTATGTTATTTCTACTTCTGTTAATTGACATTCAAATATATTTTTTAATTGAATATACACTGAATACTTCAGACATATATGTACAAAAGTATTCTGACATTTGATCTGATATTTAATCTGATATTTAATCTGATATTTGATCTGATATTTGATTTTGTCTGATATTTGTTCTGATATTTGGTCTGACTTTTTAATCTGATATTTGGTTAGATATTTACATTTGTCTGATATTTGATCAAATATTTGTTCTGCTATTTGATTAGACATTGGATCTGATATTTCTTCTGATATTTAATCTGATATTTGTTCTGATATTTGATCTGATATTTGTTCTGATATTTGTTCTGATATTGGTTCTGATATTGGTTCTGATATTTGATGTGATATTTGATTTTATCTGATATTTGTTCTATTTGTACTCTGTTATATTACACTTAAACCTGTTGGAAATGAAGGTAATTAGCCTATGCCACCAGTATAAAGCTACATGTAGGCCAGCCTTAACTTCACAGCAGTGAAGGACAAACTAGTAACTATTACAATTATTTAATTTAATTCATTATTTAATTATAAATTATTATTTAATTATTTAATTTATTAACACATTGGCGATCCATATCATCTGTTAAAATGCTGTTCGAATTGGTTTTATTTTCAGTCTATATATTCAAATATCATCCATGACTTTTGGTCAAATCAGTGTTTTAAATGAAAACTTTTGTTGGCTGACCATCTTCAAAATTTTCATCATGATTTTCTCAAAAACAATAAAGTTAAAGGCCACTTTCATCTTCAATGTATTTCAATACACACATTAAATAACCATAATTTTCTATATATTTCAAATATTGCAGATGAAAGTGGCCTTTAAAGGGACTCCACTGAGGTTTTTTGACATGATGGGACTGAAAATATTTTTTCAGATAAATGTACCATTTGATGTAGGTGTAGACCACAATTTTTGTACAAACTTTCAGATCATTCGCGCACTTCGTTTTTCCATAATAATTATTCAAATTGTAAAAAAATGACCCAAAATACTCAAATTAGACTAAGAAAAGCATAAAACTACAATTTTCGATTTATTTTAAAGTATATTTCTTAACTATATTTGCATATATTTCTGTTTAAAGCGCCCCAGTTCATTTATGTAAGAAATTCTAATGTTATGTTTTTAGGCTTTTAAACCTCAGTGGAGTCCCTTTAACTTTATTGGTTTTTGGGAAAGTCATGATAAAATTTATCTGAGGAATGAATACAATTTAACACTTACTAAAAAGCTGTTGTTCAGACTGTAGTTTCCAGATCATAACAGTTTTATCATTAGACCCTGATGCCAAATACTGTCCATCACTTGAAAAGGCACAACATGTCACATATCTGTAAACATATACAGCACACAACATAATTATCATATGTTTAATAAAATATATACATGTACTGTAGATGTAAAATACATGTCACATATTTGTAAATGTATGCATCACACAACATAATCATGTGTAAATATATACATAATACATATCACACATTTGTATGTATCATATACAATACACAGCCTATACATTACACAACACAATTCTCATGTGTAAATATATACATAATATATTTCGCATATTTCTCAACATGTATTCTACACAACATATCACATGAGAAAAAATATACATCACATATCATATAACATATTAAGAGAAACTAGAAATGTGTCATCATGCCACGGATGCCCCCGCATGCAGCCAAAATTTCAGATGTTATAATATTTAGTTCAAAATTTGTTTGCACAAATTATTTTTTTAATTTTAAGTTCAAAGCCCTTAAAACTTTTCAATGTTAACACAAACCATTTTCATACAATATTCAAGGCACTGAAATTATTTAGTCTTAACCTTTTGAAAAAAGCATATTTCATATTTGTAGCCAAAATAATGGCTACATACATTTCCACAAAAGTATGAGTGCTGAAACTGAAAGTTCAAAATTTTTCCAACATTCAAGAAAGATAAGTTTGTCCAAAATCATTGAACCATGACCAAATTCAAACTTAAACTGCTTATTCCTAAGATGTATCTATATTATTTTCAAAGTGAAAGGGACATAACTCTGCCAAAAATCATCGAACCATGACCAAATTTAAACTTGACCTGCGCCTTCCTTTGACATATTCATATGTCAAATTTGAGTTTAATATGTAACACTGTTGGGTAGATAATGAACAGAAACTGTAAATTTCATATTATTTTCAAAGTGAAAGGGGCATTACTCTGCCAAAAATCATTGAACCATGACCAAATTCAAATATGGCCTGGGCATTCCAAAAACATATCCATATGTCAAATTTGAGTTGAATGTGTTGTACTGTTGGGGAGATGATAAACAGAAACTGAAAATTTCATATTATTTTCAAAGTGAAAGGGGCATAACTCTGCCAAAAATCACCAAACCATGACCAAATTCAAACTTGACCTGTATTTTCTCATAATATATCCATATGTCAAATTTGAGTTGAATGTGTTGTATCGTTGGGGAGATAATGAACGGAAACTGAAAATTTCATATTATTTCAAAGTGAAAGGGGCATAACTCTGCCAAAAATCATCGAACCATGACCAAATTCGAACTTGACCTGTATTTTTTCATGACATATCCATATGTCAAGTTTGAGTTGAATGTGTTGTACCGTTGGGGAGATAATGAACGGAAACTGAAAATTTCATTTTATTTTAAAGTAAAAGGGGCACAACTCTGCCAAAAATCATCGAACCATGACCAAATTCGAACTTGACCTGTATTTTTTCATGACATATCCATATGTCAAATTTGAGTTGAATGTGTGCAACCGTTACTAAGATAATGAACGGAAACTGATGATGACGGAATGACAGAATGACGGAATGACGGAAGGACGGAATGACGGAAGGACGGAATGACGGAAGGACGGAAGGACGGAACAGGGTAACACTATATGCCCCGGCCATTACATGGCGGGGGCATAATGAACATGATATTACAAATCACATAAGGAAATTTACATGTATATGACATACATGTAACATATCACAGGAGAAACTATTTACATACATGTGAAAATAAACATTGCATTACACATCAAAAATGTGCTAACATATACATCACAAAATAGAACACATATGTGTAGATATATACATGACATTCATAATAAAGGCTTTATTTCATAAAATATTGAACAGGTATTTCATAAATCATTGATTCCACTAATGTTTGATATACTTAAAACTTTTATTCTATCTGAACTATTCAGCATGTACATTTTACCTTTTGTGGCCTTCAATGACATGTAAAGAAGTTCCAGTCAACTGAAAGAATAAATACATTAGTTAATACAAAAACCTTATATCTGACAATGACTAAAACTGTTTATATGCTGCATGTAAAAACCAAATATATTAATATAAAAATCAACATTTTTACATAATTTGTTAAGAGATCGTTCAATGAATAATCACAAAACCAGATTTTCCGCAGTGCATATAATATAACAATATAGAAAACTCTGCCAAAGAAGCACTTAATCACAAAACTCTGAAATATGCTCAAGGTCTAGAGCTTATAAACTTTTTTCCAAGTTTTGTCTCAAATCTCAGGATTTTCATTGGTCAGTGCACTTTCTGTGGCAGTTTTTGACCAATCAAATACCTTAGATCTGAGTTTGATCTCAGAGATAATTTCTTTATAACCTTGGACCCTGGGTTCTGGGTGTAGTGAGTGACAATTAAGCTCTGTTAAAATATGATTTGTATATCTGTAGTTGATAAGTAAACAATACAAGTTATCCTAGTTGTAAACTGTTACAGTAATTGCCTACACAGGGGCTTGGCACAGTGTTTGGATAGTGTAAAAAGTAATTCTTGAAAAAAATATATACTGTACTCACTACTGTATACCGAGCTCCTGTGATTGCGTGTAACTTATTAAATCATGCAGAAATTTCTTTTACTACTGTTCTGTTATTAAATGGATATATTTTTAGAGATAAAAAAAGTAAAGTCTGTTATATTACATTATTCAATGTTGATTAGAACTGTGAACATTGATGCTCATTGTATATTTCATTTACTATAAATATACTTAACTTCAGTGTTCAATTTTTTGAATATCTATTTTACTCATTTGGAGGCATGGAAAGATTTTTACATGCAATTTTATCTTTAACAACTGATTATATCTTTCTAGCATTTATACTTACTGGATCCCACAATCTCACTGTTTTATCTATTGACCTGGAAAATAAAAAGATTACAAAAATTTCATAATGAAGATGTGCAATTCGTCAGAATATTCTTAATAACTGACTTAGCAAATTCAATTCAGTTCAATTCTTTATTGTGTTATTTATGGCCACCGGTCCATACACAAACAGAATACATTTCAAAATATCAATGTAGAGTTAGTAAATAACAACTTTAATGCCAATCAAATTGCTATAGTCACTTAACACAGCAACTACCGTAACAAAGACATTTACAATTTAGTATCTCTTTAGGGAAAAAGGTTCAATGATTCCAACTAAATATGGCTTATTTTCAAATCATTTAATAAACAGATCAAAAGATTTAACATTGAATTGTATATTAACATTCCTTTCAATTCTGCAAATAATTCTACAAATGTTCATGCAAATCTCCTGAGAAAATGACAATGACAAAGATATATGTTATAGATTTGGCGCGTTGTCACGCAATGCCGCTTATGTGCAAAATATAATTTTGTTTATGTTATTAACATAACATCACTTCCTATGTGTATACCTATTTAGTGTTAATAAAGGAAATGAACGGTACACAATGCCTTGTTCACTTAGATCACATATTCACATTTTATGGTTATCTACAAGTATTACAATATTGATTACGGTCCATAACAACAATTGTACGTGTATTATATCTACATGTATACCTACCCTGAAGCTAGAAGTTTGCCATTCAATGAGAACTTACACTGCATCACAGTGCCTGTATGACCTCTCAATACACGTTTCTCTTTCAGCAGCACACCTGTAATACCAATATAGTATGTTCCAAGTAAAATGATATAACTTGACAAAATATATTAAAATCATTTTTCTTACAGTACAATTGCATTATTTCTGCTTTTACCCATATGACCTATGCAGACAGAGAACTGCCTGCACATCTATGCAGTGCCTGATCATGGTTTACACCATTTGTTGTTCAATCAGTACTTATTTCAAAATTTTCCCTAAAAAGACGAATGGTTTAGTTCAGAATGAAAGATGTTTAGATGTTACCATATTTAGTCAGGTAAGGGTTAAGGTCATATGACTAAGACACTTAAAGTTTGAAATTTTAGTGTTTTTTTGCGCAAAATTTGTAATTTATTTGTGAAATGATTCATTTACAGTACACAACCTTAGTTCGCACATTTTACAACCGGGAGTTTTTTGAAAAATTGGAAGGAAATGATACAACAATAACAGCTACAAAAATAATAACCAGGTTCCACTTGCCACTTGTCGGTTGTCCTTGGCTGTAGTGGGGAAGTTGCCATTTACATGTGAAAACAAGTTAGTTAAGGTACAGATTCCCTGGCAAATAAACTGACAAATACATGACACAAAGACTTAAAATGGCTCAGGCTATATCAGACGGAGACGTTGGCAGTTACATGTAAAGTCAGATAAGTTCAGGTACAGATTCCCTGGCAATAAACTGACAACAAATACATGACAAAAAGTCTTTGACTCATGCTTTAACAAACAAAAACAAAACATACACAAAAAAACTTACTTGTAGTGCCTGCTATAGACGTAAACTCCCACAGTTTTATGACATCATCCTGACCAGAAGTTGCCAACAGAAATCTTGATGTACCTGTTGGTGGGCCTGTCTGATCTAATAACAGATAACAGGGATACTGGTACAAAAAAAGTGACTTCAAAAGCAAAGAAAATAAAAGAACTCATTTAATTTTTAAAAGCTCAATTAAAATAACACCACTGAGGTCCAAGCGCATAAATAATGAAAATCAAATTTCTTACATAGATCAACTGGGCCACTTAAAACAAAAGATTTGCACAAGATAATAATAAATAATTATACACAGAATCAGATTAAAAATTTGTATTCTTGTTTGATCCTTACACTAACATTAGTTATATAGATATAAAACATGATAAATCTATCACACTTATCAATTATAAATTAAAGTAAACAATAAAAGCTCAATAAAAGGCACATAAAATTCTACCATTTCCCTAGAGTTTGAAGGATGCTGAACTTTTGATTGATATACAGTTATTTGATTCTAGTTTGATAAAATATCCACAAATAACGACAATCAATTCAAAGAATTCGAGGAAATTACAATATGAATATTTGTCACGTATGATAATGCTGTAAAATAAGATATTTTCGCTAGGCCAAAGTAAAATGAACATTTCGGCCGAATTGGTGAAATTAGATATTCACAAATTTCTATTTTCAGTTCTGTTAAATTTATTATAACTTCGATACTTCCTTCTACGTTCTCCAAAATCTTCAATTTTGGGAATGTTCAATCTTGGGAATGAACATACTTAATCCCTTACTAAAATTTCTGACTTTACAGTATGCTAGAAGTAATAATGACTTGTCATTCCTTCCAGAGTCTGACAAGACTCTTTTTACTAGTAAACTTCTTTAATTTTTTAATGCTGAAATCCCTGAAATTACAAAGTGAGAGTTCCAAATTTAACATTGTACAAATTTAGGTTAAAAGATAAAACAATTACTGAGTTATATTGCATAATATGCACTACATATACATGTATATAGAACATAAACTAGAACAATAGAATGTACTATGTAAATTTTTTGTACCTGATATGCCGTATGTAGGTGAGAAATCACAATATGTAACACCAAGGTCGTGACCTTCTAGTTCCATTAACAAGGCTTTTCCATGACCATATTTGGCATCCCACACCTGAAGGTCACCGTCACTTGAACCCGATACCAAATACTGGCAGTCCGGTGAAAAATCGCAACCAAACACAGTTCCTTCATGTCCACGGAATGTACTAATGATTTGGTAAGAAAAATAAAATATGAAACTATGTTGTTAATTATTCATATTAAGGTGCCAGTCATTTGTAACCTTGCCCACTCCCATACCAGGAGAAAAGCAGGGAATTTTGGAAAAGCAATGTCCTTGAAAAAGATCAGTCCTACTAGGGATTATTAATCAGATGGTGAAGATCTTCACAAACTCCTTTAATGCAGGATAGACTATGTTCCTCAGGCTATATAGGTGAAAAAATAACACAAATGCATTGACGTTAAAGAGTGGAACCAGCTGAAAGGGGTTGGTTAAGGTAAAATCATGTGTAGTGGGCTAAGGTAAAATCATGGATAGTGCGCTAAGGTAAAATCATGAGTAGTGGGCTAAGGTAAAATCATGGATAGTGGGCTAAGGTAAAATCATTGGTGATATGCTAAGGTTTAATCATGGATAGTGGGCTAGCCTAACGTAAAATTTTGGGTAGGGGGCCAAGGTAAAATCATGGAGAGCCTAGTGGGCAAAGGTAAAATCATGGGTAGGAGCTAAGGTAAAATTATGGGTAGTGGGCTGAAGTTAAATCATGGATAGTGGACTAAGGTAAAGTCATGGGTAGGGGCTAAGGTTAAATCATGGGTGGTGGGCTAAGGTCAAATATTTCGTGGTGGGCTAAGGTTAAATCATGGGTGGTGGGCTAAGGTCAAATATTTCGTGGTGGGCTAGGGTTAAATAATGGCTATGGTAAAATCATGGGTGGTGGGCTAAAGTCAATTTATTAGTCAGTTAGGCTAAGGTTAAATCATTGGTGGTGGGCAAAGGTAAAATCATGGGTGGTGGTCCGAGGTTTAATCATGTATGCAGGGCTGGGTTTAAAATGACTGGTGCATAAGTTTTCTATATTAACTATATTAACCCTTACCCTGTAATATTCTTTAAATGGACCAGTCCAGCTTTCATTCTCTGAGCAGAACATTATCATGTTTAGGAATATCAAGATGAAAATTTGAAAATTATATGCAAAACAAACAAATATCTTCTATAAAGACTGTACATAAAAATCATTACATATTTATGAATATCTGCATGCAGTATGTACAATTCAGATACATGTACTTTAAAATATTACCTTTCATTATAGCATCATAGATTTGTATGACATGAGAACACAGAAACAGGTTTTTTTTTTAAATATCTATCGAGTTATTAGAAGGGGATGTTTTAACCAATATACATTTCTATATTAGTCATAGTCTTCCAATAATACACGCTACAAAGTAAACCATTAAATGACTATACATGTATAAATATATCACTATGTGTACATCAAATTAAGTGTATCTGTCAGACATGATATATATCTTAAAGTTGCCATAGAAACAATTTCCTTAAGATTATTAGATTTGTATTGGTAACAATATGAAACAAAAGCTATTATATAAGTGCTTATCTTATGGAAGAGAAAATTATGCAACAGAAACATAACTAAAAGGATAAGCTTTTGTCACCAGTATAGAGTTAGTCCAGCCTGTACATCCCTGAAGTCTGACCAGCCTCTTTATTGTTGGTGGCTTTACATGTTTTTTGTATAAAGAATATTTTTTTACAGAGGCAAGCTCAGACTTTCCTATGAGCCTCTATCAAAATGTACATACTGTACAAACAAAAGATTTATATAAACAAAAATACTTAATGTATACAACATAGAAAAGAAAATTATTGAAAAATGATTTAGGAAAATGAATATTAACATTTACAATATTCAAGAGCAATCAGTGATTACATATTTGTATTTTGTTATTGAAATCCTTTAAACTTTGTATGGACTGTTTCAAATTCAAAGCAATGCAATTCTTTCAATCAAATTTAGCCGAGTTTGTCAACAAGAAAATCTTTAAAATTTAGCCGGGTTTATCAACAAGAAAATCTTTAAAAAAAAATTTAAGTTTGAAAAAGTCACATTCATGTATTTTCAATGCTTAATTGTAATAATATATATGTTATTTTTGTCATTATCATGGTTTATGTTCACATTTCAATTTCGTATAGGCCTATGCATACATTTAAACTACATGTATAATAATATAAGTGTCATAGTTATTAAACTTGGCTACAAGTCAATGTTTTAACTCTTTATTTAACAAAAACAACATGTCATATATAGAACTGCTGGTAGTAAAATAAAAGAGTCAACAATCATTATTGAAAATCATTACCACATAAAGCCTGCATTCAATTTAGAACTTTCTTCTGACACAATAAATATCTATCAACCAATCAATGAACCATATTCTTTCCTTATAAAAAACTTGGAAACAAGTTAATTTCTGTTTGTTTTTGTTTGGTTTAATGTCAGTTTAATCTTTTGTCAGTCATATAAAGAATGGTAGATACTAAACAAGAATTGCAGCTTTACATTTCAATTTTGCATAGTGAGGGTTAACCCAAAATGTTAGTTAGCTTCCATTAACATTTTGAGTGGAGAAAATTCATAAACAAATTTTCTTTATTAATGATTATTTTTCCTTTTTGTTATGACACATACAGGCATTGCTACAACCTGTCAAAGATTTGCTGTTTTCTCTAATGATGCTTTTGTTGCACTATTGACAAGTCTGTCTATAGACTTCACTAATGTTGGTATTCCCATTCTGTACACAGCTTTTGTCTGAACAAGCACTAAATGGATTATATAATCATGGATTGGAATACCAACTTATTAATAATATAAAACGCCTCTGTGGTTTTATTCCACTGGATAAGTTATTGTAAAAAAGACATACAAAATGTAGATACCTGATTAAGGATTCTGTGCTTATATCCCACAAACAAATATTATTATCATCCCCACCGGAGACCAACATTTGTGAGTCAGCCGAGAATCGGCACACACGTATAGGCGATTTACTCTCATGCTGTAAGACTCCTTTCTTCTTTCCCGTCTTTACGTCCCAAATAATAACTTTACCATCCGTGGAGCAAGAAGCTAACAGTGTGCCAAATGGCGAGAATGTACAACAGTGAACGTAGTACGTGTGTCCGCAAAGTGGCGAACAAGCTAGTTCACTATAGTCATCAGTGTCCCATAGACGCACTGTTTTGTCACCTGAACATGTTGCTAATACCTTGGACTTGGAGAAACAGAGGCCATTAACATCTGATGTGTGTGAGCTTATAGTGTGATGAAGGCTAGCAATTATACTGGGAGATTCCATACTCTTAGGATTTCATGTACATGTAGCAGTATCTGAAATTATGAAAATTCAAAATATTGTTAATTTCATGATACTGAGTAATGAATTGCAGAATATAAGAGCTATCATTATACAGTACAACCTCTGCAAAGCAACATTCTTTTGGAGACCAATCTTTTGGTTGCTACTTAGAGGTGTTGCTCTTAAAAGATTAGATTTATTAGAAAGTTTCAATTTGGAAAAAATATAAACTGTTGTTGTAAAGAAGTAATTGCTCAAGAACAGAGAATTTCACAAAACTAAAGTAGTAGGACCAACCCTCCAGGAAGACCAATGCTTGGCGCAAACATAATGATTTCAAGAATATCTTACTAAATAAAAGCATAACATTGAAAAATAACATTTTACTATCAATTTGTCATCTTTACATCTAAGATTGTATGCTTTAAAAAAACATCCTGCATGGTCATGACTGTCACTTAGTGCTGCAGCAGACAGAAGAGGAGTACTTCTCAATCTAGTGAATAAAACAAAGGCATTTTGGCTGCAAAACAGGCACAGGTGTAGTTCAATTTATGTAATTAATTAAACACTTTTTAAAGAATTATTGATAAAATTTTGTGTTTGTGGTTTCGGTCAAATTTAACAAAGACTTTTTATCTACACAACAAAGTCCAACTCTAATAAGACTGCCTAAGTTGCGCTGAGCAATTGAATTTTTTAGACATCATCCTGGTCTTAGGCTCACTCATTTTACTTGTTCTGTATGTTTGGGGAAGTCAAAGGCTGGGACCGGGCTTTGACTTGCCCAGCTTTAGACTACACATGTATATTTAAAAGGAAATCAAATAAAAACAATTAAAGGATATCGATAGATCAGTACAAACTGACATATCTCCTTCTTTAGATAATATGAGCTACAGCTGTTTCACAATAAACCCTCAAAATATAGAATTCTATGAAATTTTCAGTGTCATTTATAGTTGGGCACCTCCATTTTCAATGTATAAACTCAATGATAATGGGCGCAGTTTTCCGAAAACGGAACAATCACAACTTTTCAGATTAATAATACGGGGAAGTCAAAGACCGGGCCCGCGAAGCGGGTCCGGGCTTTGGCTTGCCCGGCTATAGACTACACGTGTACATTTAAAAGAAAATCAAATAAAAAACAATTAAAAAATATATAGAATTCTATACCTATCAATGAAATTTTCAGTGTCAGTTCTAGTCGGGCGCCGCCATTTACAATGTAACTCAATGATAATAGGCAGGGTATTCCGATAATGGAACTAATCTCACCTTTTCGGATAAATGATAATCTTCGAATGTATCGAGTGAAAACGGAAGCGGTGCATTCCGAATGACACCTTTAAAACAGAAAGAATGAAAGGAATTTTTAACGACTTTCCCGTTCATAGGCATTGCCTAATTTCATATAAATTGTCAAGGGTTCCTATTAAAAACAGAAGAGGTGCATGAAATACCAAATGACAGTCTTTTAAACAGAAAAACAAACAATTTTTTAACCTACTTCCCCGTAAACACTGTAGAATGTCATGCTTATTTTTTAATGAAACCATTTCTAGGAATAACTAGGCCTAACTCATAAACAGAAGCATTGAACAGCTGTTGAACTGTTTAATTTCATAATAATGTTAACTTTTCTTGTTGTAAAACAGTTTTTATGTTTTGTTTTGATTTTCAAAACATGTGTTACGATTTTGTGCCTAGAATTAGCCTTAATTTTAAATGCTTAAGAATGATTATAAGATTATGCAAGTGTTTTAACTGTTTAACCATCTGAAAGTAGCCCAACTTTCTTTTAACAGTTTAAACCAGGAGTCACGGAAAATTTATTTGTTGCTTTTTATTTTATTGAAAGCTGTCACTTACCTATTTATAAACATGTCAATCAAAATATGTTTATGACAAGAAAAGACCGACTTAAATATCTTGTATTATCTTATTTTACTGAGAATTTCGCAACACTAATAGTTATTGACATTTTGGTGTCAGCTGCCATTTTGTAATGATCATGTGACACCATCAGAAATTGTACACACAAACAAAATCACTCCAACACACGGTAATATTCCACTAAGTAACTAGGTTAAATAACACTAAATATTTTGACAAAAATAAATACAATGTATCTACATCTCTGGCCTAAATATTGGACAAGAGCTCAAGAACGCACTTTTGTGTATTAGAACCTATTTTTTGTCACAAGGATAATAGTTTACAAAAAACAGGCAATTCAATAAGGTGCTTGTTCAAATAAGCTAGTAACCTGCCGGGTAGACTAGTTAACATGGAGAAATCTAGGAAGACGGACATGTCTTACCAGACCATATAAGTATGCAACCTTAACTAAATCATATAGATTTCAAGACCCATCAATAAACGGAGACATGTTTAGATATATTTAACATTGAAAATTAGAAATGCTGCACACTAACAAACTGCATGGTTACAAATACATGTAGGCCTACATGTATATATACGGTACACTCTTTATATAGTTTTTCATGTGCGCAATGAATAAAACACTCCTATAAATGTATACAGTATAGTAAACTATTTCACTGGTCTCACATTGCAAGAAAGTGTCATAACTTATTTGGCCACAGAGCTCTGCAATATATTTAGTCTCTGAGCGATTTAACAAAACCGCGTGCACAACTAACATGACCTTTTTCGTGGAAATTACAGTCTGCAGTAACTTAAACGTGTGATTTTGCTCTTTTAGCATACATGTATAACTGTTACAGAATATTGTCATAATATTTACAAAAAAAAATGGTAAAAGTGTTGAACTACGGGTTCTTAAAGGGAGACACAGGCAAATTTTTATTTCTTACTTTTGAATTTTTCATTCGTTATTCTGTAAGTGCCCTCAAAATGAATATATTCGACAGTCAAAGGAACAAAAAAAATTCTCCATATAAAGAATAAAATATAGTTTCCTAACTTGACCCGCGTTGGTCAGGTTAGAGCGCTAGCATTTCACAATAGTTGTCAAAGCGAACTCTGGAAACGTGAAAGAGCATGTCAAATGAATGACTTAGGCTTGTTTCAATCATACAATATCCACAATATCTGTTATTGTAACCTCAAGGGTTTGTTCCAGTTACCGGACTTGTTTAAAACTATTTGGTGATTCTATTGGCATCTCAATTTTGTTCAACATATATTATATAGATATATTTACGCTTCAAAACCAAAATATATAGAAATTTAAACAGAAATTCATGCTGAAACTTCAAGAAAAGTTATTTTAGCATGATTTGAGCACATAAGATCATTTTAATATTTTTGTCATTATTTTGCCTGAATATCCCTTTAAAATGTCAGCAAACACTTAAGTACTGTAATTCCCTGAATCATAACCGAAAATTATATATCAACCATATCGACGTATTTAGCTTCGGACAAAATTTAATATATTATATTATTGGATGTTAAGCGGTTTTATATGTAAGCATTAGGGAGAAAAAAAATAGGAGGGTAGTAATAAAAATAGTAATCCTGAGGGTGTTTCTAAATCAAAGTTTTACCATTTCATTAAAATATTGACTTTGAAGAGCTTAAAGCGGCGCTAGATATCTTGAACAGTGACTTGCATTTTCGAGTACCGTCTATGAACCAACTCGATCAAATGTCTAAACATTGCCAATTTTGCCGTTTTGGGCGTTCTTTGAGGATTCTATATTATTCTCTAATTTATCACGACAATACTTAGTCAAGACGTGAATTTATATGAGCGAATTTATATGAGCACACCAGGCACCAGCCTCTTGTAAGAAATAAAAGGGTGAAACGAGGAGGAAATAAATATCAAACTAATTTCATTAAGTTCCGATATTTGGATGTCAGATATTGAAAATTTCTGACATTGGAAGTCACATTATAGAGGAAACAAGGGAATTTTAGCATTATATTTTGAAGCCACAAGCCAAAATCAGGAGTGACTGACTCTCAAACTTCCATTAATGGAAGCCCTGATTATATAATTCAAATAATTTCAAATGAATAAATGAATACAAATATTTGGAAATGATATTATGTTGTTTTTTTTAATTATGGGGCATCACAATTTAATAGATATTGTAAATGATCAAAATACAATGTAATTTAAAGAGTTTTGTATGACACAAGAGGAGGTCACTAACCGAGAAGTCAAAGCATGTCCAAAGAACGCTAGCACTTGTGTTTGACTCTTCAAATGTTGACATGTAGGTGGATATTACAACACTTCCTTAAGATTTCGACCAATGTTGATATTGATAGATAAAATACCAATGTTGCTACCTATAAAATTGTCTTCTCTTTCCTACTGGTAGCATCTCAACTTAAAGGTTCATTGCTCTCACATTTTTCAGACTTAGTGTTTTTTGTTTAATACATAACAGTTAATGCTTCACGAATTTCACATAGATTATTAGAAAAAAACTTTACTTATAACGCTGTATAGTTTTATCTTTAACAATTTGATAAAATATAGTTACATTAAAATACGAATAGATTTTTACTTCTTTAGAAAGGGCAAACATGAATCTTATAATTTTAAAATAAAATTTATATGGTTCTAGAACATGTTAAATGCTTGTTACCTGAAGAATGCAGTGCTAAATGTGAAGAAGTGAAAGACGTCATATAAAAGTAGCAAAGTGTAAATTTGACTTCCATACAAAATATCAAATCACTGTAGCTGTACTAATTGCCAAAAAGCAACTGAACGAACAGATGGTTAAGCCAATTGGTTAATGAGCAACTTTTTGGAAACTATAAAAGTAAACAAAATTAAAAAGCTATTGAGAAATAAAAGTAAAAGCATTTCTGGGGAATAATGGCATTTAAACAAATTGCAAAATATATGCAGTTGGTTCGAAATATATGTGCTACTCAAAATTTGAGATTCACAATTTATTTCGCATAGAATTTTTACGATATTCATTACTATATAACAAAACAAATACACATCGTTATTTATGGGGCCTGTTTGTTTTGCCATCGTCGGAGCACATGTTTGCCTCAAATGGTTAGCTGAATTCTTTAATTCTTAATAGAATATATATTTGTATTCAAATATAGTGAGTCGCAATAATTTTATTTTGACTTTGTAACATTTCATCACAAAATTGCATAACTGCCATTCAGCTGTATCATTTTAAACTTGGTTTAAAATGAATTTGAGAAGTTGACATCGAAACATTTTTCGTTTTTTAAAAATTAAATGAAACAAACAATTAATAACACATTAAAAAACCCAAACAAACAAATAAAATCATTAAAACTCCCAAACAAATACTATAAATATACATTTCTGCAGTTTTTTTTCTTCAGACATCAAAACGTTTTTCGTTTTTTAAAAATTAAATGAAACAAAAAATTAATAACACATTAAAAAACCCAAACAAACAAATAAGATCATTAAAACTCCCAAACAAATACTATAAATATACATTTCTGCAGTTTTGGAACACTTCTGGTCTAAGATAATCGACAATAAAAGACACGAAATGTTTGATTTGATAACTTCCCCTAGATAATAGCACAGACAACCTATCGAAAGTCTGAAAAAGAATATCCCCGAGAAATCCGCACTCCTCCCTTTTCTCTCTGATATATTTAAGTAAAAAATAAATGAAAAATAGAAAGAAAAAAAAAAGAAATATGAAACATGATGTTCCTTTTGTATACTTGTTAAAAGTAATATTCATCTCTCAGAATTTATTAAAGATTGGAACAAAGATTTTCCAGGACTTAAATCATAAACAGTACTGAGAAAATAGTACGACATTTGCTTTTCCACATACACATCCGTGACACTGGCTTTTGAGAAAAGGAGAATTCCCCCCCCCCCCCCAAGACTACAAGAGGATACGATGAGAAATTTAAGATTTGTTTAAATTAATTAAGTATATTCATGTAAATATTGAAATGTGCAACGTGTCTGAGGTACCCCAACACCGACTTAATTATGCAGTAACTTCATTATTACAACTGAAGTATATGAAGAAACTTTACTATTGTCTTCTTATTCTGTTTGAATTTAAGTTGGCTATTTATATTTTAACTGAAAATAAAATACAAAACAATAAAATAACAATAACTACATTGATCATACACCCGTGCCGATTTTGCGACTCCGTAAATATCGTATTGCACGGTCGTGCATATATTTTGACGTGACGTCATAAGCGTTATACAAACATCGTGTAAAGAGCGCTAAAATTTAATGTTAGCGTTATACTATAGGCGCGTCAATGAAATATGACTCTTATTTCACTTTAAACGGTCTTTATCTTGGGTATGTGATAAATAGAATATTAAATTCATGTAAGTTCCATACACTCATTCAATATCCTCTATACATTATACATTGTTATGATGAAAATAAATCAGAGTCATATATGCACTCGGTAAAAATGCTACAATTGAATTTGGTCATAATATAAGACCCTTTGGAGGTTTGAATGTTTCAATTGACAGATGTTACTTTGTCTTACTTTTGTTCAGCGGGGTGCTACATGAAAGCACGACAGTGACCACTCCTTTGGGCGTCAGGCAAAACACGAAATAACGACAAAGTGACCAATTTGTCGTACTTTCGTTCTGCGGGGCGACGAAAATACAACAAAGTGTTTTCTCTGCCGTATTTTCATGATTTCTGGCGACCCACGTAGCAAAAATACGACATGGCACAAATCAGCCACCATATTGATCGCAAAAAAAACGTGGAATATGTTATTAATGCGATTGTTTTCTAATTTATGAGTTGTCTCATATGCGGTCCATTGTGCATTGTTTGGTGTCATTTTTTCTTGAACAAACAAACAGATTTATACATGTAAGCATTGATACATATGAGAATTGAAGTATGAGATGTGTTTGTTTTTTTCTGGATCGGCATGTTTATATCTACGTATAAACTTACTTTAAACCTACTTAGATCAATACATTAGGCATTTATAGGATCTTTTTTTTATTCAACTATGATACATTGATTCATCGGTTGCATATAAAAACATTGCACTTTGACAAAGCAAAAA